GCCATCTCAAAATTCGAAAAAAATGACAAGTAGCTGAGAAAATGGAACTAATCGATGTAATATATCGCATGTCGTTCTGACACAAAATATAGCGTCAATCGAATCACCTTATAAGAATAGAGTACCCATGTTGGCTGTCGTGGGAGCTCTGCTGCAAGTGCGGCAACGGGAGAGCGAAGAATAAAAGAAGACGAACGAAATACGAACAAGATCGTGTATTCACGAAAAACAGAACATGAAGTTCAACAACTGAACAAAAGTGAACTCAAAAGGGAACGAAAACGAAAAAAGAAAAAAAAGGTGGTGAGCACGGGTCTATGCCGCTGCTCTGACCCCACTGACTAGCTTGGCCCAACATGGCCGCACTCGAGCACTCGATCCCCTCTTGCTTCTATCACCCCTCCCTCCGAGCGGGAAATCCGAAAATGGTCGCGGTGTTGCGACATTGGCAGTTGTCGGTAACTGTCAAACAAAACATGTTGGTAATTTAGAGGATACGTCATGAAGCTTTTAGGGCCCAAAGAGGCAGCTAACCTATGGATTCAAATCATCCAGAGTTATCTATTATTACAATTGTTTTGATCTGTCCTTCGGAAAGCATGTACTTGCCTCAAATTTTACATTTTACTCATTTTTGCAGGAGATAGCTCATTTATGAACGTTCTTGGCCAGCTTGGTTTGATATTGAAATGGAGATAAGCAGTGACATTTGTTGTGTTAGAAGGTTGGCTGCCCTTTTGGACCCTGAGAGCTCCATTTTTCGACATATCTGCACTTTTCCTAGATATAAAGGTACTTTGGTTAAGAATGGAAAAACATGGAGGCACAAGTTTAATCAGCCATTTTTTCCCGGCTAATGGCCGCCATTTTAGAAATTCGCGGCTCTGTCCCGTCTCTTTGCGGTTCCTCCGATTTTCGTGCCTAGAAAGAATAACATTCTCCTCAGTTTCAGTACGTTAAGCCCCGCAGTTCTACCGGCATACGAATGTAATTTCAAATGAAGGAAAAATTTTTGTGTGAAGAGAAGGTTTAAAGCAAAAGGTGAGAAAAGCGCAAAGGAAAACGACGAATTTTTCAGACGAAGATTTAAGAAAGTTCAGAACTAATTGGAAGACAACAGCTTTTCTGTCACACCTGTCGCGTCGTCTCTGAAGAATTTGTTTGTTGCTTCCCAATATATTAATGATATTAATTGAATCACAAAAAAATTGGAATGGAACAATGAACGTTAGCGTAACGGCACTATAAAACTTTATGCATTGTCATACGTTTTCACAAGCTTCATCCGGCGAGATAAACACTACACTTAATATGACTGCCAAAATATGTTGCTAAATGTGGTGACACTTCTTTAGAATGACTTTTCTCGCTTAAAAGTAAACATTTCAGTTTCAAATGGCAATTTTCTCGAACATTAGAGCCTCCTCTCAGGCAATATTCCCTAGAATCCATGATCAATACGGATATATTACCGCTAATCGCCCTTTTACTTCAAAATCGGGGTTGGCGACGCGTAACCGACTTGACATTTTCGGCCTTTCAAGTCTCATATTATAAAATATAATCATAACTTATCATAATTTTTAGCATGGATAAGTTCAGGGACAGTATTCCTATTGATTTATCAACTTTGTTTTCAATCGATTTGGCCTAAGTCGTTTATAATCTATGATGACAAGACTATTCTTTTCATTGTAAAATCACCCTCCTGTGCTTTGACAGGACCTTTACTTTTCATTTACGGGATCTTTCCAAAAAGAACATAGAATAATCTTTTCCTTTTTTCTGAGGTATACTTACACATTATATTCATTGAATGAGCAGCATTACTACAGGAGAGAAATGACTATAGTCATTAAACATTCTGCAGTATAGGGTTAAGAACAAATTACAGTAAAGCTTTACAAACACAGTGCAGTATAGCACTTAAAAACAAAGTTAATTAAAGCAAATATTCCGAAAATCTTGTAATTTATTTATTATTTTGTTAGTATTATTAACTTCTAACAAAATTACACGACTCCACTACGCAGTAAAATTATACTTTGAAGAAGTGGGGGAATTGGAAAGAGAGGGAGTAGATTGAAAATAATAACATATAAATTTGTAGATACTTGGTGTCAAGGAAACTTGAACGATAGCTATAAAATGTAAGTAGCAGAAGAAAATGAGCTACTTAATCCTAAGAAAAAACGGTAGTAAATAGGTGGTAATCAAGTGTGAACGATTTATCACAAATGCTTGAAATGATATCTATAAGATTTAACGAAAGAATTAATTACAAAATCAGAACAACAGGGTAACACCGAAATTGAACTATGGTGCATCTCAAAAAAAGAGATGATTTCCTTTTCGCAATAAACATATAGACTAACGAACGCATTCACAGAACACTTCATTTCTTTTTTTAAGTTGTATTTTCCTGGCTTTTAAGGCAAATTTTGGCGAGTGGGTTTGGTGGAGTTTTTGACTGGATTGGCAGGGTTGCAAACCAAAAGAGAAAACGCTTTGCTGAAGTCAAGAACTAAACTCAGTCGCTTGATTATTTTGGCCAACGTTTGCATTCATCCATTTTTCAACCCACCTCGGGTAGGTGACGACCATGTGGTGGTCATTGCTGCCAGCAGAAAAACCAAATGTCGTAGGCGCACCGCCGCCCGGGGGAATTTCGTTTTGTTATAAAGGAGGTTGACAGTAAGTTAAAAACTTCAACCACGCGAAAATTCGTCTCTGATGAGAGGTTCGTGATGATGCCACAGAATTCCGCGCCTCGCCACCGACCGTCAGTGCCTCATAAACCAAGATTAAAGCTCCCGTGTGTGGCACCGTAGCATGGTGAGTTCAGTATCCCTAATAACCCTTGGATATCAAGCTTGGAGTATATCCGCTCATTGGTTGTAGAGGAGTATCGTGAACAACTATGTTTCGGCTATCTTGAACCGTGAAAAACCGCTATTTTGAAATGGTCATAGGCAGGAACTTGAGTTTTGCCCCAAAAATGCCATTCTTATCCCCTTCTCAATGATGTATCAGAAAATAGGGGTTGTAATTTTAAACTGAAACATGATTTCATGCTCCCCTCCACCACAGGAGCCTCTTTGAAATTTTAAAGGAGTTAAAGAGTAGCTCTTTTTGACCCAGGAACACCCCCTAAGTTTCATTTTGATAGCTCAGCCAGCAAATGGGTGTTACAGGACTTAGTTGTATCAAGAATTTGGGCTGTTTCACAAACAAACGAAGACGGACTGGAGGGACATTTAATTTATCGTTGAAAGAGTTCCGACAAGACATGAATTGAACCGCAACATTCTAACCGGACAAACGACATCTTTGTTCCCTGGCTGCTCAGCAGGCCACGTTGCCAAGTTGGCGGAAATGAGATTGACAAATGGGCGGAAATGAGGGGATATAACAGACGTTTGAATTTTGCAGTATCAAATCATTCAACTTGCTTTGTAGGTGACACTTATAATGGTTAAATGAAATGAGAAGAACAAGGGGTACAGGCTGTAAATTAAAGTAATTTGGACGGGACGTTTCGGGGTTCACATTCCCTTTTTCAACCGCCGAAAAAACAAAAAACAAAAGTTAAAATTTACACATAAATGAGCCGCCGTTTTAGATTAGTGGCGAAAACATATATGTGAAACAAAGAGGAAGCACTCAACCCAGCTATGTCATACAGGTAACCCCGAAACTTCCCGTCCAAATTACTTTTATTTACAGCCTGTACCCCGTGTTCTTCTCATTTCATTTACATATATTGGGCTGATTAAATTGTTACCTGTATTATACATATAGCTGGGTTGAGTGATTCCTCTTTGTTTCACGTATATGTTTTCGCCACTAATCTAAAGCGGCGGCTCATTTATGTGCAAATTTTAACTTTTGTTTTTTGTTCTTTTCGGCGGTTGGAAAATGGAATGTGAACCCCGAAACGTCCCGTCCAAATTACTTTTATCTACAGCCTGTACTCCGTGTTCTTCTAATTTCATTTACATATTTTGGGCTGATTAAATTGTTACCATGTTACCTGTATATAATGGTTAAATATCTACTAGCCGTTCTGGACGCGCTTTGCGCGTCCAGAACGGCCAGCCAAGGGGCTGTGCCCCCTGGACCCCCGATCACTCGCTACGCGAGTGACATTCGGCTCGCTCCGCGAGCCATTTTTTTCAGTGATTGGACATTTGATCACCAAGCTGTATACATTTTGGAGACTTTGGAGGAAAACATAATTTTGTCACAGAACCTTGTTGCCGGAGCGTGCCATCATTTGCACATGAATAGATGTGTGGAGATGAAGCGATGATGGGGATCGATCATTTCTTTCAAAAACGCATTTGATAGGAACGTCATCCCATCGTCTGGCGGAAAAAGACGATTCATGGATCTCCTTCCGCGATTTGACTTGCTGAAGTAGCAAAAGTTCAACTTTACCTCTTAAGAGGATGATCGGTGGCATAGGGGTCTAAAAACTGCTCAACGATTGTATAGTTCGAGTTCCAAATTGCAATTAGCCCACTCATGTTTTTTTCTTATACTTTCATCGCATATAAATTTCTCTGATGTTTTTGTTTTATTCTCTCTGATTGCATATTAGTAATCATATCCTCATTTCATTTCCTTTCCCTTTCCTTTTTCCCTCTCTGTAGCATCTGTGTCCATTTACATTTATTATTTTAAAATAGCTTCCCCCTAGTATAAAATTGATGCTTCAAACGGAATCAATTGTTTTAATGACATTTCCGGCTAAATCATGGGTTTTCCCAGGAAGGCAGCCTTTTGTCCCTCCCGGACTCTATTGTTGCCTGATAAGTTGCTTTTTTAGCACTTTTCCCAATTCAAATCCTTGTAACTTATTCATATTTATCACACAATCTGGGAACCTCTCGAGTGAAATAAAAAAGGGGGAATCGCTGAAAGTTTGAATCCTTCGAAGTTTATGTTAATGATGCATAGTTGAATTTTATCTTAATTTCAAATGAATTCTTCTGCAGGCAAGCACAGCCGTATCATCAAATCTGTAGATGGGTTTTATGGAGATTACGATGAAATGGAAGAAGATGAAGATTGGTCTAAGAAGTCAGGGCAGTCTACTTTACAAGAAGCTGAGGCACGCTACGATATGCCAGAAGACCCTCATGATCCAACATCTTGAGATTCACTCATTCCTTAAATTGTAAAAGTGAGCATTCCAAGTTTTTACTATATTATAGTTTCCTCTCTCATGGTCCTGTTCCTAAATTTTGCAACTTTTCTTTCATTAAATTTGTGACCTCATGTGACATAAGAAATATCCAAACTTGTCCAAAAAACTTTACCTGCCGCAAGTCTCAGTGCTATCTCAGAACCCGGTGGGCCCTTAATTTTGTACCTGTTCCACAGCTAAATTAATGACTTTGTGTGTAAACAAGATTTGTTAAAGCCTGTATAAAAAATATTCAAAATGTCTTCACCACCAGTTTCAGACCTAGTTCAAAACTAAAAGGTTTAAGCAGGTACCTATGCAACGCTTCACACCAGAAACATATGAACTAGGTACCATGGTTGAAGTTCAATCCTGATTACGTAAACGATGCTTTAGATGTAAGCATCAGCATAAAATTTGGTAAAACAAGCAGTTTTCTATGTTTCTTTTATATGATTTCAAATCCCATCTTTTTCTGGCAGTCTATGTGTGGTCCATATCTGGGTAAATTCGGAATTGGGGCGAGCAACGGATCCCAACTCTTTTTTTCAAATGGAAAAATCCTCCTTGTGATTTTCATTCGAAAAAATATATAAAAAGTATAGTTTTGTGCAAAACCAAAGTTATTATGTCCAATCGTTTCCAAATGACGGCCGGTTAAAGGTCAACTGGCCAAAAATTGACACCGGTCTTTTGTCCATTGATTTCCGTGTAACTCAGTTTGTGAGGTCCTTTCGGCACGAACAAAAAAAATTTGACGTAATATTTTTACACAGGAAAACAACATTTTGAACTTTAACTGGCCGCCATTTTGAAACAGGTTGAAATACTGACTTCAGTTTCCAAGAAAAATCTTTCTTTGCTCATGTTCTTTTTAACGAAATACGGGGAGGGATGGTTTTTTCATTTAAGGAAAAATTTGGGGAGACATCGGTCCCCCCCAAGGGAGCCCGCCCTTAAAATTTTAGAGGGCCAAAGGAGGCATGTCTCCCAAGTTTCAAATCCTTACTACAATGGGCCTGTTGCAAACTTTTGCCAGAGCAAAAATAAGATCGGGCGAAAAAGGAAGAAAAGTAAATGACCGTAGTTTCCGGTAAAGAAAACAAAGGAGTAGCAAAAATAAGAGTTGTTACGTCTCAAAAACCACGATTAGCGCATCGGCAAAGTCCTTACTTCACAATTTGCGTAAGAAATTTGCGATTTTTCGAGCTTCCCGCTTCAAAAACGATACCACAGCACAGGTGAACATTTCGTTAGAGGAGTTATTCCATCCAACCCCTGCTCACAAGGATAGTATGCAATACTCAACAAAGCCGACGCCAATCTGTCAAAAGACATGTGACGGGACCATCATTCTAACCTCCTGATAACAATCAGCGTGTTTACATTCACATTTTTCTCGCGTTGTTAAGATATCCGCCGTGATTGACCTTGTGCTCTCCTCAACTTGTGCGCGGAAGCGTCGGCCATGTTGAGCAGGGATTCAATGGAACGACTCCTTTAACGAAATGTTCACCTGTGCTGTAGTATCCTTTTTGAAGTGGGAATCTTAAAAAAAAACGCTTTCTTACGCAGATAGTGAAGTGAGTGCACTTCAGACTTTGCCTATGCGCTCATCATGATTTTTGAGACATTATCTGTAAGGAACAACTCTTATTTTTGCTCTAGCAAAAGTTTGCATCAGGCCCATTGGGTAAAAAGCTATATAGGAAATGAGGCTTCATTAACACCCTGTATACAGATACCAGGGGTTTTTGCCAAAATTTTTTTTTTAATGCTCATTTCAATTCGAGTTATCATAATATGGAGGTATTTCTATTTGAAATTCTCAAATTGTCGATGCTTTCAGTCCTCTGGGGGCGAGGATGTCATTCCCTTTCTCAAAAGAGATTTCCATTTTTATTTGAAAAAGTCTCGTCCTAACCACATGTCAAAATCTGTGATCGTTTTTGAGATGCTGAAGGTATCTATACTTTTTCATCTTTCTGTATTTTTCATCAAACAGTTTAATGCTGATGAGGTTACTCCTGTAATGTCAATGTATACCTGCCTTAACATCCCACCAGTCTACTCTTTGAAAAAGTATTGCCTGTGATATAAGCCTGCCGATGATCTTTTCATTATTTACTTTCTCTTGTGAAATGAAAGGTGTAGTAAATAATTGCTCTATGTACTCCAGGCGTCTGGCAGCCAAAGGTAGGTAAGCTTGAATTTCGCACAGGCAGCAGAATCCCGACTGACCGCGGTTCAAGAATGTAAATTAGAGTGTTTTTTACAATCCTATCTCCCTTGTTTTTTAAGCAAACCTAGCATGTATAGTTGTACACTGTTCATGCCCAAACCATTTTCTTTCATGTAACGTCACGTATTCCAAATAAATTTCGCCAAAATCGGATTTTTCTTTGTGCATAGCCACCGTTTTGAAAAAACCGCAAAAACGCCTCTTGAGCCATTTTTGTGGCGGCGAATACTCATCAGATAACTGTCAGGAAACTTCAGACTCGGATTCAGTGACCCAAAAAACATCATGTAAGAAAAAAAAAGAGCTGTGTACCCAAAATTCAAGTTAGCTTTACCAGACGCCTGAATTCAGTGTCAAAAACCTTTAAGCTTTTGGGCTCCTAGGTCAAAGAGGAGTTTAAGGTTTTTAACTTCACTCACGCTGAGCTAGAATTTACTTGCACCTGTAAGATATCATCAGTGTGTACCAATATTTCACTTGGATTTTGATACATTGATGGTGGAAATTTTAATTTTTTTTTGATTATTATAACCTTCAGGCTTTGTATTTCAGTATTTTGTAGATCATTTTCCAATGAATTATATTTTTCATCTTAATTTTCCTTCTTTTTTTTTTTTTTTTTGACATCCTCGAAGGAGACAGAGAGCTGGATAAAAATGGGAATTTTAGCTCAGTAATGTTCCTTTGACTCCTCGAATACACAAAAACATCCTCCAGCAAAATAATTGTTATATCCTCTTACTGCCCTACATATAGAGTCTCCAAAAATTAAAAGTCTAAAATAAATGCTCATCAAGTGGAGCAAAACGTTGAGGAAATTCGCTGCAATTAATTTTGATTAAATTGAGAGACTTGGCCTGGCTATGAGCTTCCAATGGGGCTAATCCCTTTATAAGCGGCAAACAAATATTTTTTCTTAATCTGTTATAAGAGTGGTCCATAAAACCTATGAGCTGATCTACTGCGTGTTTGCAAAATTGAATTTAGGCAATATTTTCTATACTCGCTAGTGTATCTACATTATGGAAAATAGCTTATCTACCTCGGTTTGACAAACTTAGGCTGTATTTCGACTATTTAGAATGCCCCTTGAATATAGGCAACATCCTCGATACTCGCTTATATATCTACAGTATGGAAAATAGCTTATCTCCCTCGGTTTGACAAACTTAGGCTGCATTTAGTCTATTTAGAAGAGCAAATTTACGGCGCTCTAATAGCCGTAGAAGGGCATTTGTGAGATTGTCGACTTCAGGAGGGGTTTGCGATGGGAGTAAGCGTCGGGAGGCGGAAGATTTGACCCTGGGAGGGTAGGGGGGACGCCGGGGAAGGTATCTAAGGGTCGCGGAGCGATTTTGGAAAGCGGGTGTGGTGGAGCGGTGAGTTTGAAAAAAAGTCGAACTTTTGACAGAGTGGTCGCAGGGGGCCGAAACTCCGCCAGCGTGTAGAGGGGATTAAACTATTGAAAAAATTTGTGGACTTTTTTTTTTAAAAGATAGTCGGTATTATGTGTCTGTGAGTCATCAGGAGGGGTGGATTGGCCCGCAGAGTTGGCCAGAGTGACGTAGGTCTGACTGGTGGACACCAGAGTAGCGCGAGAGTGGCGGGAGAGGTGTAAGTAGGTTTGCGGGGCGGTGGAAAAATGATTTTTTCATTTTTTTCGAGTTGGGGAAAAGTGAAGTATAATGTGGTAATAAGTGTTCCGGGAAGGCTTGCCGCGGCATTCGCGATACACGGGCGCTAAGTGGGCGTGGGGTAAGGTGGGGAAGGGAAAAGGGAGGAGAGGGGCGGAGGGGACGGTCTCCGGAAGGCGGAGTCTCGGGCAGGATCCTCCCGTCAGGACTCTTGTGCGAATTTCGGTAATCGGGCGTTATTTCAGTTTTTAAGCGTAGATTATGCAACGCAGCGTTTAATTAGCGATTTTTGAGGAAAGGACGACGGACCGGTCTTATGGGAAAAGTGGGCCCGGTTAAATCGGCTGGCGTTTTGATATGTTGTAGGTCTTAACCTACTGATCAAAAGTGTCAATGGGCATTTCTCCCTATCTCGAAGTTTTACCCCCCATTTTGGGGGTCAAAGTTGCCGATTCGGCGTATAATTGGCAGTTTTGACAGCCGGGTTTATTGGTCGCCTATGAGATTCTTTGATGGTTTCTTGAGTCTTTTGTATCCTCTGAATAGGCTAGAGACCATCCGAACTCAAAAACTGACAATTT